TGGCTCTGATTAGTCTCTCTGTAACAAGCTAATTAGATGGAGCCTTGTAAAATCATCTCTACCATTACCACAGAGACATGTTTGGGAAAGACACCAACAAGCAGGAGGCAAGGAATATGTCTTGCATYGCTCCCTGCAAAGATTTGATAGTTAACTAAATGTTAAGTGCTAGAGCTCTGATTTCTTTTTGATTAAGTGCCTTTTAACCCTCCTTATACTTTGCTGTAAAATCTTTTTTCTTTCTTTCTCATTACTCATCACGAAAGGATTGTTCCGTCTAACAGAGCAGGATGATCTGGCTTAAAGTGCATAAATTGCCACTGTCAACATTTTAGCAGATAGCATCTGAGCATTGATTGGTTTTCCTGCCCACGCGATAGAGTGGCTATTTATCCAAAACGAACTACCGTCACAGTCTGAGCCTGAACTTTTCTCTTCAGCAGAGAAACTTTAAAGCCTGAGCAGAAAGCTAGATTAATTCTTTCCTCTAGCTCTTCCTCTCTGTGTTATTATCCTTCTAACAATCCTTTTAGGAGCTGTCACACACTTTGTAGCTATTGTGTTTGAGTTGTGAACTCTTTAGAGCGAGTCTAGAGTGCATCGCATTTCATTTCCCATCAAGTTCAACAGTTATAAAATACGTAATGCGTTCTCYGCATTTCCTGTTTTTTTGTTTCCAAACTCATCTGAGAGAGGCCCGAGGTGCTGCGGAGCTTTAGCCGATCCCAGCTGTCTCAGACGAGGAGCAGGGAACGCTCCGGACAAATCACCATCTCTGATCCAGCACAGTGATGCACATGACAAACAGCCATGCATGCACACTCTTGTCAATTTTAGACTCAGCAGAGACTTTATGCTGCAAAATATTAAGGAAACCGGCAAAGCAGAACCGTTTTGGAATACAAAATATCCATTGAGTCAAACTCCGAGGGGTGACTGGACGCATCACAAACTTGCTTTTTTTGTGGATTAAAAAGCACATTTATATCCTGTGGTCACAAACAGGAGACTTGTTACATAACAAGTTTGGCAACTCATAGTTTGAGCTGTCAGGTAGCTCACCTCCCTGTTTGAGTGTCCACTTGTGTGTGTTTGCATGAGAATAAAAAAGTTAAGGGAGGTGTGTGGGTGGGTGGGGGGTGGTGGTTGATGGATGAAACGGTATAAGTTGCCTCTATGTCAAGTCCTTGTGCTTATGTTTAAATCTGTTAGTGCATCTGTTTGTGAGTATGCTTGTCTTGGCAGGAGGTTCTTTTTCTTCTCGAGGGTGAGGCAGATGGCCTCTGTGGATGGCAGCCCACTGAACTGGTTGGCAACTCTTCTGACATTTCCTCATGCCACACTGACACACGATCACAGCCAGCGTTTRTGGCAGTAGTGTGTTAGCTCTTAAATCTTTGAATAGCTTCACTTTGAGGCAACAAATCTCCCCCAAAAAGGCAATTAATAGGTCCCATTATGTTGTCTTTTTTTCCTTTTTTTTTCTCTTGAACATAATGTTCAGACTGTGTCATTGTGTTTAATGTGGATAACGGTCCCTATTAGCGGTGCCAGCAAAAGTCGTGCCACGCTCCTGTCATAGAGGTATGCAGCTTCTCCTTGGGAGCTGCTGCGCTTTCTTGCAATCAGCCTCGGCTTAGACTGAGCACGTTGRTAATTGGATTCTTGGAATCTTCTTATTCACTTCAGTGACACAGCATGCAGGCGACAAAGTGCCTGCTGTCTTCTGGCGTCATCCCTGCATCCCTTTGGGAAGATCAAGGTAACTTTACCCAGACTTGGTAGGTGAGACTGAGGCTGAGGCTCCTTCTCATGGGAACCGACATGCCTGAACGGTAGACTTGATTGAAAATAAATGGGTGATAACACATCCACCCGCCTCTATATAATGACAACTTACTGTACATAATTATCCACCTGTTGGATATTTTATGGTTGTTTACCCAAATTTTAGAGACATTGGGCCTCATGCAAGAACATGTTCGTATTCTTATCCTAAATTTCTCTTACTTTTGTTCGTACAAAGG